TTTTTCTGTTGTTGTTCTGGTTTAATGTTTGCTAAATTAGGGACGGCTAGCGCAGATAGCCCTTGTGTAGCTTTGCGCGAAATTCAAAACAAACAAACAAACGCTATTTAATCTGGATTTGGGGAAAATGTGAGTTAGGGATAAGACTTGGAATGTCGAAATGTCGCTCTTTAAGAGAGGACTTAGAGACAGTGTCGATCGTGTCGAATTTTACCCATGTTGATTAATGGTCAAACTCTGGTATTTTCAACCTAAACAGAAGCTTATGCGACACATGATCTGAGTAGCCAGGTCAGAGACGTCACTTCAAGCATAACTCTTTCTAACTTACAACTGTTGACTTTGTGTAGCTTTTGGCAAACATTCTGAAAGAAACAAACTAGTATTAAAATCTTACAATGAAGCGTGTTCTTTTGTTTGTATGTTTTTCAGTATAGTTACTGAAATAATGTTCAATATATTTCAAAGCTTCCAGTGGCACGACGGTAAATCTGAAAATTCATAACGCTAAAAACTGAGTTTCGATGCCAACAGTGGACACAGTACAGATAGCTCATTGTGTAGTAGTTTTGTGCTTCACTATAAACAAAACAAACAAAAGTAAAACCTAAAAATGTTTTGAGAGATTGAAAAATAGACTAAAATACGTTTATATGATTTCATAAAAAAAAAGGAAAGGTTTTAAATTCCTAACGAAAAACCCATACAGTCTGTTCCAACATTTGCAGTCCCTCTGATAGCTTCAATGCGGAACCTGTAGTTCTGAAGGTACAACACCCACCTCAGAATCCCCGCACTGTCGAGCTTGCACATCAAAATGTATGCAAGAGGGTGATGGTCTATCTGGATGATGAACTTCTTCCCGTATAGATAGTTCTGGAACTTCCGAATGGCAAATATGATGGCCAGACACTCTCGTTCAATCATAAAGTAATTATTCTCACTATTTAACAGCTTTTTACTTATATGTGTTACCAGAAACAGTCCGTCTTTCCAAGGGAAATAAAAAAAAACGCTTTTCTGTCGTTTTGTTGTTATACATACAATTGGTCTAGTAATTATGTAGTCAATACAATGCCATAAGTTATCAGTATATTTACTGTTATCATGGAAAACTGCTTGTGTTTAACATTGGTTAATGCAGCATAACACTGATGCATCTTTGGCCAGGCAAATTAACGTATTGTTGCGTCAGCGAGGTCACGTGACTAGTGTCACGCCATGTTTTCTAGAAATATTCTGTTCCTTCGTGAATGCCCTAGCATTTACTAGATTGGGGGTAGTCTGGTATATATAAGATGGTTACAACGTGACGGGACAATGTGTAGGTAGTGAGTAATTGAACTGCAGTCAGAGAGTATTGTTGAAGCGTTTGTTATAGCGCGACTGTTTAAATTAAGTGTATCGTAAAGTTGTATTCGGAAATAATAAACCAGTTTTATTTAAGAAAGGACTTGTGTCACTAAAGTTTTGTCGGAACGAATTTACAGAAAATTAACTAACGACTGGAGGCATAACAGTATTTTGGAGACATTGAGTGTTTCCCGTGGTTACAATTTGTTTAAGTTTTCAAGTGTACAGTTACTATTCTACTTAAGGTTGCTATTACTTTTTAACGAATAGTTACACAATTGAGTATTTACGCTCTGTTCACTGCGGGGAATCGAGCCCCGAATTTTAGTGTTGTAAGTCCGTAAACTTACCACTGACACACTGGAGGGCTTTACGTAACCTCTCACTAGTGAGTGGTAAA